GGTTTGGAGATTCCACCTTTCATATGCATTTGTGAACTTGCATATTTGTAAAACATAATTTACCTCATCTTGCATACACATACTCTTGAAATGACGATCATGATAGTTTTCAGAATGGAAGGTGGCTCCCCCCCCCCCAACAATAGGATTGCTTGATTCGAGAAGAGTGGTTGGCTGCTGCAAATATTCAATGGTCTTATCTACCTAAAGACTTAACAGATGTGTTGTTGCTGAAAATTGCTTAGGTATCTCACTTTTATTTATTGCACCCCAGAATATTTTCTGTCTATGACATCAAAAGGTTTACCCTTTTCTGCCCATGTGGCTTCTGCTTCCTGTAATAGGCTGAAGTTCAGGTGTGTGTTTAAAATCTGTACGCTAGACTATGCCAGGAAATTAGGAAGTAGTGTTACTCTAGAGTTACTCAGTAGCTTTGAAAGTAGTAGTAAAAAACAATTTTAGACTGCATTGCTCAACATACTTTCCTGTGAATAAGTACTCTGGAACTTACTTCTAAGTAGACATTAGTAGAATAGCTTAGTTAGTATACATGCGTTAAAATTAATCAGCAGCATACTATGTTGAGAGCAGAGTACTTTATTCCTTGAAATTCTAAAGCAGGAATATGCTACCTAGAGTTGGAGTAAGAAGGAATCTAAAATGGTATCTTGGGGCTCCAAAGGACTGTGGTTGTTGGGGATGATGGAAATTGTAGGCCAACACATATAAGGGGCACCCGTTTGGTGAACACTGTTCTAGAATGATAGACATCTGCCATCTGAATTTCCTACTGGAGGGACTGCCACTTGTATGCTGAATTAATTTTGTTTTACTTATTTTGTGTCTGGCAGAAAAATGATATATCAATGCATTACTGAGCATAAACATAAAATTTGTTTGAGGCCATGTGTATGATGGATGTGAAAGAGGTTGATTGAGATTATATTTCAGTTGATAGAGTCAATATTTTAAGTTTAAACTGTTGCCTGTTTTTAAAACTTCATGACATATCTATACTGCCCATACCCAAAGCTCTCCGGTTACTTCACAGCATTAACTTGCACATAATGATAAACTGTAATTTACATGCAGGAGCAGAAATGAGCCTGCATCTTCTTATTTCCTTCCATATTATGAGAAGAAGCTAAAATTTAGTTTTACTTTTGCAGACTCAAGATTTGTTATGTATGAACCAGGAAATGTCAGTTGCTAAGCAAACCAAAAAACCGATCCAGGTTTTCAGCTTGGTTTCTTTAGAAGCTGACTATCTTTTCAAAAGCCATAGTTCCTGATTGCATGTAATAACAAGCTAGGAATCTGGTAAACTGAAACTAAATTTGGGTTATTCCCCTTTCCAGCCATGTGAGAGGAGAGGAGAGTGTTCTGTCACTAGTGCTTTATGCAGTAAGATTCCTTTTTGTATACAGAGTGCTAGCTCTTCGTTTAACGTTTTGTCTGAACTGTGCCTATGACAAAATGATATCATTTAGTGGCTATTAAAGATGGATCTCTTGAAGGGATCAATGAATTCAGGCTAGAGATGAAAAGGTGAAATCTATGAAAACAGTCCCCTTTGGAGTCTTTTCATTGAATAGTGAAATTGGTTTCAACTAAATCCAGACAGTCCTTTTGGAAGACTGCCTGAATTACATTTCCAGAACAGAGATTCCCCTCAACCCCAAAAAAAGTTCGCATTTAGGCCAGCGATGGCTAACAGTGGTATGGGGTGGAAAAACTGTACTTTGAAGAATCCCTGAAATAGAAAATTCTCCATGCCAGGTATGTTGGTGTTTATCCAAAGTTGTCTGGGTTGTTGTATTGCAGTCAATAATAGTAGACGTGGGACAGGAGCTTCTGTAAGGTTTCTTCCAAGATGGGTGTTGGCAGACCTGAGCACCCAGTTGTGGCCAGCCAGCTTCCTGCCAGATCCCAGAGGCAGGACGTGAGTGCAGGACCACCCCGGGCTCAAGGCCCCCAAGCATGTGCCCACAGACTCTCACTCAACATTTAGTCAAAAGGCTTGTTGAACTGTGCAGCATCAGATCTCTTTCAGCTCTGGATGGAACTAGAGAGTGAGTGAAGCTGAAAGTGCCACAGTTAGCTCAGCAAAAGAAAATTAAACTTGTGATAAGAGACACAGTGGTCTTTTTGGAAATTTGTTCTAAAAACAGTTTATTATTTCAGGAATAGTCATTTTTTGCTAACTATAAAGACATATCAGGAAGTCTGTGCTGTTCTCTTTCCATTTTTACCAATATTCCACTTTAAAAATTTCCATGTAAAGCTTTGAATGTGTTGGAATATAACATTGAAATTACATTGTGTGCTTAATTTAATTTCCTCCCAAGCAAATACTTCATTTCACATATTTTGCAGCTACTGCAGAAACATTTGATATATTTATACTGCACATAAAATTGACAAGGATTATATTTCTAGTTCTGTTTACTAAATATGCAATATTTGCTGTGCTTACTGAAGGAGAATATGTGCTGGGCTGTACAAATGAGTCAAGCATACATGCTAAATCAGTAACCTTATTTAGAGCACTGGAAAAATTTCCAGTTCTGCTTTTGCTGGAAACCCTGCATTATTGATGCCCAGTTTGTAGTCCATGGTTAGACTTGGTTCCCACCCACTTCCCATGTCCCCCCACTTTCAGTGTGGTAGACACAGCACGGAATATGTGGGTATCCCCAAAGCCTCTTTAATAGCGCTTACTGCTTTTGGATAAGTCCATTTTGGGCAGGAAAGCATCTGTCAGGTTAGACTTCTGGCCTCTTTCTTTCCGATGCCACTTTTGGCAGAGATGGCCAGAGAAAACATGCACATTGTTTTTACTGTTTGCCCTCATTCCAGATTACATCACTGCCATTCCTTGGTACTTTACCAAGGCGGACCAGCCTTCTCTTCTGGCCAAAGAAGTTGACTATTACTGATGTAGACATTACTTCTGATGTCTCTAACTTGTGATTCTATGGCATGTTTGAGCGATCTGTTGACCCAACGTCTCAACTGCCACAGCTGAACTTTCTTTGTTGCAGAAAGGTCTCGTGTGGTTTGGGTGGATGTTTGAAACCCACCTCATATTGTAAGAAACATTTTTTCCAACTCGTACTGCCTAAGCTGAACAGCCCTCAGCGGGGGGTGAGCAATGCATACCTGTCCATGGAAGCAACAGCATTGTCCTTGAGAAGTAAATGAATCTTATAAGGGAATTATAAGAGTCTGTACTGATTTGCATCGAATATAATCATGAGGGTGGATTGAATCCCTAAAGGAAGCCATAGCCTTGAACTTGGAAGAGTTGAATGGAGCCATCATGGATAGGATGTCTGGGAGGACCTTCATGCAGTTGTCATAAGTCAGAGTTGATTTGATAGCACATAGAAGCAACATTGATGAGAGAGTTGCATTGACACATTTTTCCAGATAAATCAACCTTGAGTAAGTTGGTCTATTAAAGCAATGTTTTTAGGGACCATTTATTTGGGCCAACCAGGAAAGAGTGGAAACGGACCTTTCTCAGTGAAGATTGTCTGCAGATTGTTTCAGCTTACCTCAAATCCCAGTGCACTGGAGGATTCTCCCCTGTGCCAAGGCAGGTAGCCAAGGCCAGCAAATCCCAGGGAGCAGTCCAAGGGACAACACGAGCCAGCTGCCGTGCAGAAACTGCTGGCAGTGCTGTAGCTGGTACTCCCGGCTGGACCAGGTCCAGGGCTGTAGCGAGGGCATAATGGGCTTGCAGCCTTTTGGTGGGGCTTCGCGATTGTTTACGGTTGTCACAATGGCACTGCGGGTGTTGTGTATCAGCTAAACCACGTGCTCGCTGAATAGCAGGTGTGCTTGCGATTTGTCAGGACTGAAGAAGTAATTTACAATCCGGTGTGCTACAGTTCTGTGTGATGCAGCAGATTTGTGGGTTGGGATTTCATCTGCTAATGAAGGAAATCTGAACTTGTTAAAGTCTTGGGTTACTCAGGGGCATGCTGGGACGATGCACTGTTCTTTCTATAATATTGAAGAAGAGCATTCTTTCCATAATATTAAAGAAGGATATATATCAGTTTTTCAGGCTACACCATAGTGGCAAACCTAGACTCCCCAAAATAAATATTAAATTCCCATAAATATTAAGGGAATCCTGGGGGGATGCCCTTCAATGTTATGTAAAAAGTAATGCTACTTGATTTCAACGTGTCCTTGTGGTCAAGGCCTACACATCCTCAGAAATGAGAGGCAAACTTCCCTAATCAGCATCTTGGACCAAGTCCCCTGTAGTTCAAAGCTTGGGAGCCTAGCAGGCAAAGGGGCAGAGTTTTACCCCCACCCCACCCCTTGTTGCTGGAGAACCCTCCTCTGGCAGACCCCTTCCCTTGCGGGGCAGCAGAGATGTAACATGGCGGGGCCTTGCATAGGGGTGCCGGCAAGCGTAACTTCACTCCGATGGGACAGATACAACGGATCCAACTCTGGCAGCTGTGTAAACCTGCCCAAAGGCTTTGCCACATCACCTTAAGGGTTATTCCAGCCATGTCATGTCCTATATTAGTTTCCCCTTCTGTAAAAATGTAGGGTATAAGCTCTTCAAGGGAGGAACCTATCCTTTTGTAAGCCACTCCTGAAACTCCATGCACAAGCAGTGGTGTTTTTGCTGTTGTTATTATTATGAGCAACAACAATAATATAATCCAAATGACCAAATTTAGTATTTTTAAAGCCAGATATGAGTGTGCATTAGTAGCTTTTCATATTGGTGTTGGTGTTTGGGAGAGGAGAGTGTGTTCTTTGTACCTCTCTGGTGAGCCATTGCCCCCTTTCTCAGCATCTTGGTGGTGATGTAAGAGGGGGCCTTTTTTGGTGGCAGCTCCCAAAGGAGGCTAGTTTTGTACTTTCTTTACTATCCTTCTGATTACAGGCAAAGACCACTTCATTCAAGGAGGCCTTTGCCTGAAGGGGATCTGTGGGTTTGGTGCTATTTTTATTTTACAATTGTTACGGTTTTATTTGTATTTCAATATGTTTTATTGTTTTAATCTATTTGAAACTGTTTTTGTAAGACACCATGATTGCCACTTTTGGTAAAAAGGCAGAATATAAATCAAATAAATAGCGTAAAAGATGTATGTTGTTGCTTGAAGAAGCATTCCAAACCTTTTCTGTTGGCAGAGGAGGATGAGTGCATCAAAGCCATAGCCATTATCCACAGAAATGCATGGTGATGCTGTTCCTTCCCTCCCTGGTGGTCTTTTTCTAGGGATACAGAGTTTGGCTGTGAAGCATTTAAAAGGCTTGCTAAGTGTACGGGTCTGTGTGAGAACTGTCAAGGATTCTGCCTTCTTGCCCCTCCTAACGTCACTGTTGTCTGATGGTGAGCAAACATCCCAGTCTGCTCAATAGCAAGTAATTTCTGTGCTGCTGTTTGTGAACATCTACAAATGTGCAAAGATTAGGATCAAAGAGCAGGAATGCCCCAGGAAAAGGAAAGGCAATATTGGAAGAAGCTCCTTCCCTCCATGGGGTTGTATGTCATGAAAATTCTGAAAGCATTGATGTAACCGATTGACAAGCAGAACAGCTTGATTCTGACTTTGGACAGTTTATCAGGACTCTCAGAATCAGCAGACTAACCTTCATTAGTTTTGTATTTAGCTAACTCAGTTCTGTAGGGATTTTGTTATCTTAAATATTGCTGTTATTGAATATTCATACAGTATCATCTTTGACAAGAGATAGCAGTAAAACAAACATACTAATTCAGATTGTACTAAGGCCTCAAAACATTTTTCTATACAAACAAACCTGCTTGCATAGGAAAAATTCCACATTCAAAATTTTCTGGAAAACTCGTATCACTATGTAAAGGTTCTTGTCAGTACAATGAAAGGGAAAATGCACTTGGTAGAATTTGTTTTTATCCAGTACTATTTAAAGCATGGACATTCGCAGATGAAGGCAGGCAGAGCTAATTCTTTATTGAGAATTCTTTTAGCTAGCTGCAGAAGAATTTGCTTCCACAGATTCTGCCTGGTCTCGGTTTCAGTCCCAAGCATATAATCTTGTCGTTATGAATATCTCCAAATCAAAAGGAAAATGATTGAGAGAGATGACATGATGGTAGAAGGCATGTCCTGTGAGAAGCAACAGGAAAACAAAATGAAAGAAGGGAAACATTTCACTGACTCCAGTAGTATGTTAAGTTCTTCAGCTTTTTCAGTGCATTTGGGATCGGTAGAGAAGATACAGCATTTCTTAAACAATATTGCTTTAGTGTAGCTTGCCATTTTGCAGGAGGCTGGGTGAAATTATCATTATGACCTTAGGAAAAAATATGATAGAATCTGAGATAAATATGCTAAATTATTAGGTCATTTAAATACTGTTTTCCCATCAGAAATGCAACTTGTGCTCTTTTCTCCCTCTACGCCAATTAAGGATTTTGTACAAATCAGCAACGTTCCCTCAGTAACAAATACCACACTTCCAGAAGTTTTTCTCCCAGTTGCGTCACCTTTCAAAACTGCTAAACTTAGTAGGAGATTGTTTGACGGGCTTTGATCAGGGTAATATGTAACTAGGCAATACATACCATGGATGTGGAAAGCTAAAAACACCCGATTAATTTGTGTAAACTACAAGTTTGTCAGAAACTTGCTTATGAATTCATTAAGGTTTTGAAAATGTCTGTGTCTTGTATTGGAATAACTTGGTCCAGATTGTGAAGCTTTGCATGAGTGTTTAAAATTTAGAGAACTCCAAATAATAATGTGCACTATTTTTTGTAAAAGATTAAGGGGGGTTTTTTAACCATAAGGCAAAGTGCATTGCTGCTTCTTTAGCCAGCCCATTGACTCCCCAGGATAACTTGTTCAATGACTGTTGCCCAAGGGCAATAAGAGGTGGCAGTGCTCGCTCTCGCTCTCGCTCTCGCTCTCGC